CAGTATATTGAAACTCACCGTTCTTCCGTCATTATAAAACAAGTTTAATGCACTGTAATATTATAAAACGTTTCAGCACGTCAGTAATCAAAAAACTCCTACATGTTTGAAACAAAAATTCCTGGTCTCCACTCCATACTATATTAAGAATGAAAATGCAAAAAAAAAAAACGCTCCCAACAGCGACCCACAAATTCCCAAAGACCGCTTTGGCCTTCTAATGCAAAAAATACCACTAAAAAGTCCCCCTCACTTAGACCCAGCCTCCATCACCTAACAGTAATTAGAAGCTTCAATACTTCTTGTGAAAAGTCAGGCTTTGTAGTCAGAGAAGTAGAAAATTGAAGCTTGCAAAACGAACTAATCAACTCCAACTTAAATTGAAGCATTTCGATAACGAAGGTAACAACGGGTCCTACGCAACTACAGTACAAGTTCCAACGACCAAAACTGTTCTCATCCAGCCCAATGCAAACCCATAAGGCAGTAATAAGCAACCCAACCCTAGCGAAAACAAACTACAAGATTTTGCAAACGGGTTCCCACATTCGTACTTGAAGCAACAGTACCCATTCAAAGTGCACAAGCCAACCACCTTAGAAAACACTTCAGCGCTCTCCACCCTATTCCTACTGGTGACAACCTCGATGAATATGAAATTACGCAGTACTATAAAACGATTTCATTTCTCAATGGGAAAAATGATCCAAGTTACATATGCAAACGATTCCAAACAAACACAAGAAGTGCACCTTTATGGTTACACGACCTACAGCTCTCACAGAACATATAATACAAAGAATGGCCCTCAGTACTTCAGAAAGCAATGAGGCTTTATAGTACAGGCGAATCCCAATCCTTTAATAGCACCAATGTTTTCGGACAAGAGCTACTACACATAAGTTGGAGTTGAACAAAAAGGCTTTGATATCCAAAAGTAAAAAAGACCATTGCTTCCGATTAAAAAAGCGCAAATATCACAAGAAACAAATAAAATTCCGCAAATGTAAAAAACAAAAAGAGAACTGCATTATTTCAAAAAACTTCTGCTTACTACCACAGCAGAGAGACAGACGGAAATTGCATAACAGTGAATTTTTTGGCCTATTCCTGAATCAGCTTATTAAAAAAACAACAATTTTCGGTCAACAAATGAACTCACAATTAAATATATAAAATTAAAATCTTCGTAAAAATATACAACTCAAAATTTACCTACAGTAATAAAAGCGAACGGCAAATACAGACAAACATAACAAATAATACTTAATAAACAGCATCTAAATACACGGCCATCAACCTTTAACAATATATATATATATATATATATATATATA